TCCCACTCACTCACTACGTCACTCACTCACTACTTCACTCACTCACTACGTCACTCACTAGGTTCGGGGGGGGCGTCCCTCCACTACGTCCACACCCTACGTCACACACTACGCCACTCACTAAGTCACATCTACCCCAACTAACTACGTCACTCACTACGTCACATACTACGCCACTCGCACAACGTCACTCACTACGTCACTCACTAACGACACTATTTTATTTGTGCAGGACAAGGAAGCAATGATGGGGTAGGGGTGATGGAGGGGCCAGGATGCTGCAAGGATTGGATGGAGCTAATGGACTCTTTAAGTTCATTAATGCCTGCAGTTACATGAGGTTCATTTGCACTGAGGGCTGTTAGTTGCTCAGAGATGTTCGCTAGAAGATTCTCAGATGACTTAGATGCATGTACTGGCTCTGGAGTTGGTCGTGATGTAAGGAGTTTGAGGTCATGCTGAAGTTCATTAATCTTGAGATTGAGTGCATCTAATGATTTGTCACAGGAGATGATATCAGTGTTGTGGCCTTTGAGGGAGTTCTCATGGAGCAGTAGGTGCTGAAGACGTGTGTCAAACTGAGAGAGTGTCTCGATGTGGTTACTGAACTGTTCAAAATTGATTTTGTCAAGTTGAGCACAACATTTTGACATATCTTGGAGTTTAGATTGTGCCAAGCTTGATTCGCACTCTATATTCGTCTGTTGAAGGGAAAGAGTGTTACGACAGATGTGACAGACATCCACAACCGTAGAAACTGTGGGGATTGGTGAGACATAACAGAAAGGACAAAGGTATTCTGTCAGTTTGTTGATTGCCTTCTCTTCCAGACCCTTCAACCCCACACACTCTAAATGCCACCATTGACTGCATTGACTACAGTCTAACTTCCAGGATCCAAGAGATTTATTACAGGGACAGGCGTCCTTGTTTCTATGTGAATTCTTAAGTTTGGGGAGTTGCTGAGTGGTGGAGGATTCAATGGGACATGGATCATCAGCAGGAAGGGATGCAGAGGCATCAGGTGTTCCAGCTACTGGTTTCGATTTTTTCTTGGATGGGAGGCTGTCCAAAGTGTTAGAATCTCTTCGTTTTGAAGGCAGTTTCAACTTCTTTGCAGCTGCAGCAGCAGTTGCACCAGACATATTTAGGTATCAGCGAATCTATCAGCAAATATATAAAGACAGCGCAGCTACAAAAGTTGACAGCTCAGCCAGCTTTCACAGCCAACAAAACAACGAAAACTTACGGCTCCCTTTGGAGGGCTCTAATACATTCTATCCCTGAACTCAAATTATTTGTTATATAGCAGCGCTGAAAGTATTAAAAGAAGGGGCCCTTCGCTTCTGTGTCCTGGCGATTCTCAGTTTGCTTATAAAAGTCTGTGTAGTCTGATGTAATATGTTTAACGCACAAATCTCCGGTTACAGGCTTCAGCAATTGTTCACTAACCAATTAGACCTGAAATGAAAGAAATTGTATAATGGGAACCAGGTTACGATAAAAATGATCATCAAAATTACTTTTTTTAAGAAGGATACCTCACTATTCAAACATCATAGCAACAAACTTCACATATCAATTGTCGTTTGATGTTGTATTTAGTAAACCACCGGCTCTGCTTGTGCACAACACAAGGGTATTTATTTTTAAATGCACTATCCAAGGATGCTTTATTACATACCTTATGCATTTAATCGTTGCAGTTGTTTCTATATGTGGCAGTCCTGAGCGTCAATCTTTTTCGTCTTTTGTCTGCTCATTTCTCATTTCAAATCGATGAGGCAGGACTAGAATTTAGCAATGTTCTGTGTGCTGTACCTAACTATAGTGTGCGTGGCATTTATTATCTTGGTCTCCGTAAATGTGGAAACCATTGAATATGTCTACCAATGCTCCTCAGTCGACCACAAAGCATTTAAAATAGCGTTTAGTGTTTTGACCAGCTGTGTATTTAGATGAAGCAAGGTCAGGAACCCAGCATGGTGGAGGATAATGACAGTTATCGTGCAAAAAGATCTGTCACTTTACTTTTGTAGCTTTCAATTCTATCAGAATCGTAGTTTGTAAATTCACATACCTTTGATGAAGTAAATGTTAGACAGTGTTTTTATGAATATATCCCCGTGAAAAACTTACTTAACAACAGTAAGATAATAAACTTCTGAGAAATTCAATCATGAAGGGTCTTATTTCATCAAAAAATCTGAAGTTTGAAGGCCATTGAAAACAACGCTGATATAAATGAAAGCCAAATATATATGTAATCTTCAGCTCAACTGTCCATCATGTCTGTTAGATTATGATAGTTGCAGTTCAACTACAGTTAAAGCAGATAAAATTAAAACAATTATGCCCTTAAACTGTATGTCTTGAAAGAGCAGTTTCTTCTGGGCTTCTGGTTGTTAGAAGGCATCTCAGTTACCAGTACTTGTGATTCCGCGGTTATAGCTTGAACCATGTTTTGTGCATGCAACACTTAGATGAACCGTTGATTAGAAACATTGAAGAGATTTCAAAGCAATCTCTTGCAGTACTACCGTCTTCGTTCTTTAGACCAAAGTAGTTGAAAAGAATTATGTGGTGCCACAGGACTCTGCAGTAAATATCCACCATAAAGATCTTCACAATCCAGTCAACACCAGTGATCCCGGGAATTAGCTCTCTTTTGGTTTTTTCTTCCTTTCCACTTGGTCACTGAGCTGAAGTTACTCTCATCACCACATGTCAGTTCAATCAGTAAAACTAAAATATTCTTGGAGAATGGAACTAACTGACAAAATTAAAATATCCAACCTCTAGCATTGTAGGTATGCTGAGGGAATTGGGCAGGGTATTTATCTTCGTCAAACAGTATATTCCAATCTCTTGCATGACTAGAGATGTCCTTCTTCATCATCATCATCTCCTTACCAAGCTTCTAGTACTGGGTAAGTTTAGACCTGAGCTTAAACCACAGCTCCCACAGTCCTCCTTGGGTGACGGGTGTGTTACTACTCTCTCTGTTGTCTGCCAATTGAATCGGAAAGGTCGAGGTGATTTCATGTTAGTCTTTAAATCTCTGTTGACAAAATGTGTAATACTCTAATCGTGAAATATCGTCAACTCACTACTAAAGCCCTTTGCATTGGATCAACTCCAACAAAATAACTTCAGGTCAGCCTACAAAATGTTCGAGTATTCACAAAGTGAGTGAAAATGTCTCGTATAGCGCTCGATTTTTCCTAACGATATTTTTAAACTTTCGGTAATGACGACCAAACGCATTGCGCGGCTTTTTATTTTTAAAATAATTATTTTTATCTAACAAAATTGCTAATTATTATCCCGTATACATTTTACTATTTTAAAATATGATATGAATAAATATTATAGGTTATAATTGTATAATTTTAAATTACTTTGTAAAATAACAAAATTTGAACAATTATGTATTTAAAATTTATAAAAAATTTTAAATACGGTAAATTGTTGTTCATTGATTTTCAAAAACTATTTTATGCATTGGAAATTTAATTTATAATATACTGCAATCAGACATGTTTGGGGTTTTAGATTTTTTGTTAGCAAAGATTTATTTTAAAAATAAAAGCCGCGCGATGCGTTTGGTCGTCATTACCGAAAGTTAAAAAATATCGTTAGGAAAAATCGAGCGCTATACGAGACATTTTCATCCCACTTTGTGGATACTCAAACATTTTGTAGGCTGACCCGAAGTTATTTTGTTGGAGTTGATCCAATGCAAAGGGCTTTAGTAGTGAGTTGACGATATTTCACGATTAGAGTATTACACATTTTGTCAACAGAGATTTAAAGACTAACATGAAATCACCTCGACCTTTCCGATTCAATTGGCAGACAACAGAGAGAGTAGTAACACACCCGTCACCCAAGGAGGACTGTGGGAGCTGTGGTTTAAGTTCAGGTCTAAACTTACCCAGTACTAGAAGCTTGGTAAGGAGATGATGATGATGAAGAAGGACATCTCTAGTGATGCAAGAGATTGGAATATACTGTTTGACGAAGATAAATACCCTGCCCAATTCCCTCAGCATACCTACAATGCTAGAGGTTGGATATTTTAATTTTGTCAGTTAGTTCCATTCTCCAAGAATATTTTAGTTTTACTGATTGAACTGACATGTGGTGATGAGAGTAACTTCAGCTCAGTGACCAAGTGGAAAGGAAGAAAAAACCAAAAGAGAGCTAATTCCCGGGATCACTGGTGTTGACTGGATTGTGAAGATCTTTATGGTGGATATTTACTGCAGAGTCCTGTGGCACCACATAATTCTTTTCAACTACTTTGGTCTAAAGAACGAAGACGGTAGTACTGCAAGAGATTGCTTTGAAATCTCTTCAATGTTTCTAATCAACGGTTCATCTAACTGTTGCATGCACAAAACATGGTTCAAGCTATAACCACGGAATCACAAGTACTGGTAACTGAGATGCCTTCTAACAACCAGAAGCCCAGAAGAAACTGCTCTTTCAAGACATACAGTTTAAGGGCATAATTGTTTTAATTTTATCTGCTTTTACTGTAGTTGAACTGCAACTATCATAATCTAACAGACATGATGGACAGTTGAGCTGAAGATTACATATATATTTGGCTTTCATTTATATCAGCGTTGTTTTCAATGGCCTTCAAACTTCAGCTTTTTTGATGAAATAAGACCCTTCATGATTGAATTTCTCAGAAGTTTATTATCTTACTGTTGTTAAGTAAGTTTTTCACGGAGATATATTCATAAAAACACTGTCTAACATTTACTTCATCAAAGGTATGTGTATTTACAAACTACGATTCTGATAGAAATGAAAGCTACAAAAGTAAAGTGACAGATCTTTTTGCACGATAACTGTCTAAATACACAGCTGGTCTAAACACTAAACGCTATTTTAAATGCTTTGTGGTCGACTGAGGAGCATTGGTAGACATATTCAATGGTTTCCACATTTACGGAGACCAAGATAATAAATGCCACGCACACTATAGTTAGGTACAGCACACAGAACATTGCTAAATTCTAGTCCTGCCTCATCGATTTGAAATGAGAAATGAGCAGACAAAAGACGAAAAAGATTGACGCTCAGGACTGCCACATATAGAAACAACTGCAACGATTAAATGCCTAAGGTATGTAATAAAGCATCCTTGGATAGTGCATTTAAAAATAAATACCCTTGTGTTGTTTTTGATTGAAATAAATTTTCGTGCACATACAGAATGAATGGTTAATAATTTAATATATATGTAGACCAAGGTCTGTGCACGGGATGCTTCCTGGAAGAATCCAGTTCTTTTAGCGGGGCACCCTACCTAAAGCCAAATTGAGATATAATAATCATATTCCTAGAGAAATAATCAGAAATCGAATACCAATCAAATAATATGATATATAGGAGTAGTAACCATATTTACTATGGAAAATGCCCCAACCACATAGTGTAAATTTATATAGAAATCAAATTCCATATCATCATTAAACCTCAATAGTCAATATAATAGCCCAAGCAAAATTAAATAACTTCTTATATACCTTACTGTCATACTACAAATTAATTAAACATTTGAAATCTGTTAACCAGAGAATAAATTTCTAAACCTAATGCAAGTGAAATAATTTAGATGCAATAATGAATGCCTAATGTGAGTATCATTTGTCAATGTCCTTGTAAAAAAGTCTGTAAAAGAGATATGAGTAACTAATATAGAAGAAAAAACAGGAAGTTGTCGTCTGTTGAAAAATAAATAAAATATCTAGAATATAAATTAGAATATAAAATAACATTCAGTCAATGTGTCGTCAATAAAATGTACAATTATCAAATGTTAAAACTGGGTGATACAGTCACCAAAAATAAATACTAAGTATAATAAGTAAATAAATTAAATGTGGTCTATAAAACTACCACTAGGTATAATAGGTCAATAAATTAAAAGTGGTTTATAAAACTACCACTGTGCGAACCCTTTCTCCAGTTAAAACATGTCAGTCATGTGCAAAATCAATCAAAATGGTAAGGTGGTAAAAAAGGGAAAATTCTTTCGATACATCAATTATATATGCCTCAGATTTAAAAGAATTAGAAGATACTTAGTTATCGTCGACTATGATTGCAGTGTAAAATTTGTCATATGAATTGTCGACGGTGTAATTAGGGTCTGTTATTATAGATGAGAGTAGCTGTTTCTTATACGAATCACTAAAGCTTTTAACATCGGGCAGATTTCGTAGATCTGTTGGAACATTATTCCAACATTTTGCCCCCAAGTATTGAAAGTTTTTATGTGATGTTGATCTATTAACATATAGGTTGCAGCTTTCGCCGCTCCTACTACCTCCTGATATGTAACTAAATTTGTTCATAAAGTTTGTAGGACAATTGTCATGGATGATTCTAAACATATAATTTGACAGATGGAGTTGCCGTCTAAGATGGAGTGGTAACCATTTCATGTCTCTATAAACATTAAGGCTGCTCTCTGTTTGTGGAACGTTGAGAGCTATTTTGGCTACCTTTTTGTACAGAGTGTCAAGTTCAGCAAGTTTTGTCTTGCCAGCTCTACAATAGATCGTGTCTAAATAATCGAATTGTGGCAACATGAGTGCATTGGCAAACATTTTCCTATATTTAATGGGTAGCAGTGCTTTACTTCTATACATGGCACCAATTCTCTTCATGACCTTCTTAATAATATAATCTACATGGCTTTTGAAGTTTAATTTACTATCTAGAATGAGGCCAAGATATTTTGTCTCTTTGCACTCCTTGATTGTGAAAGTTACCTCATTACATTCAATGGTTAATTCATCATGTTGATCAACAGAATCAAACAATAGGAATTCAGTCTTCTTTTCATTGAGTGATAATTTATTTACACTGAGCCATTTAAAGATTGTCATAAGTTCTATTTTCATGTTTATAAATGTGCTTCTGCAGGTTTGATCAAAGAATAGTGCACCATCATCTGCAAATAGAAAGGGCTTAGATAGGTTACAGGCATAAATGATGTCATTTATGAAGATACTAAATAATATAGGCCCAATGATGCTTCCTTGTGGTACACCACTCAGAACTTCTAAAAATGAGCTTAGTTTGCCATTGATCCTAGTGCATTGATATCTACAAGATAAGAAGTTCTTAAACCAGGTTAAAGCAATGCCACCAATTCCATAATATGCCAATTTTTGAAGCAATATTTCATGATTCACTGTGTCAAAGGCCTTCTTAAGATCAAGAAAGATGATTCCTGGTTTATAAGACTTAGATTTACTCATATATATTTCGTCCATCAGATCGTACATCAAATAAGTTGTGGAGTGATTTTTCCGAAAGCCATATTGATGCCGGATGAAAAGTTTGTTCTCTTCCATGTAATCAGTGAGTTGCTTGCCGACAAAGTATTCTATAAGTTTTCCTACAAGTGGAAGGATGGATATTGGCCTGTAATTATTAGGATCATCTTTCATTCCTGCCTTATGGATGGGAGTTACTCTAGCTTTTTTACAAAGGGTTGGTACAACACCTGTATTAAGGCTCAAATTGACAATATGGGTCAGTGGCTCAACTATGTGTGGTACAGCTTGCTTAAGTAAAAATAGAGGCACATCGTCATATGAGGCCTTGTCATTCTTGAGCGTTTCGACATACATTAGGATATCAGTTTCATTTACTTCTTGGAATCTATCAAATGAGATGTTAGAAGTTCTAGGAGGTAAAAAATCAGTAAAACTAACTCTTTCAATACTGGGGGCCTGATTTTGTAATCTTGATCCAACATTTGCAAAATGAAAGTTAAATAGCTCAGGATCATTCTCATTGATAGTTTGACAATTAGTTGTACCAGGGGTCATATTTGATGCAAGTTTGATAGTTTTCCATACCCCTTTAAGATCATTCTTGGCACTTTTAACTTGTAGATCATCGATTACATTAGCCTTTTTGCAGGTTTTAGCTAATTTATTTCTAATATTTCTCTGAATCTTGTAGCAATCCCAGGCCTCATTACACTTTATACATTTGCTACATATACCACATTTATTGCAATTTCCATTGTCTCTCTTATCCTTCTTTTTACGGAATTTCTTTAGAAGAAAATGTGTATGATTAATGGCATTTAAAAGTTCAGTAGAAGGTTTATGTATGAACTTTTCATGCCTTTCTATGGTCTTGCAAGGGAAGAAGGTTGCATATGCCTGTTCAATATGATGACAAAGGCCAGCAGTGATAGCTTCAACATCTGTACTTTCCAATAGTGGACTGTAATCAGAACAGGTATCTAGATAGTCTAAGAATTGTTTAACATTACGTTTACAATGATTTCTAATTTCAACCTTTTCAAATTTAGGAGCTATAGGTACTTTACAATCTATCTCACACATAATAGCTTGATGATCCCCAATACGTTCATCAAGAACAGAAGATTGAACAAAATCTGCATAACAGTTAGTGAATATTACATCAATAGTAGTCTGGGTAAAATTGTCTCCACGTTTAGCAACTCTAGTTATCCCTTGAATGGTTTGAACTAGATTGTAACATCTCAAGGTCATATCTAATTTTTTGTACTGGGTTGATGAGATATTATTCTGGTCAATGTTTATATCCCCAATCCAGATAACCTTTTTCCCGTTCAATTTTTTCATGCAAAAATGAATGTACTCAATAAAGTTATCAACACTGCAATAATTTCCAGAGCGATAGAAGCAGCAAACATTGATCTTGCTATTCTTAAGCTTCACCCATAATGCTTCAATGTTATCAAGCTTACTATCCATAACTAATTCTGTGTAAGCTAGTTTTTTGTTTATCATTAAGCCGCAACCACCCCTAGAACTGTTTGGCCTGTCGCATCGCATAATGTTGAAGGAGGAAGGAATATTTATGGTGTCTGTGTCAATAGTATCATTAAGATTCATCTCATTTAGGGAAAGTATGTCTAGCTTATGATCTCGAATGAGTTGAGTAAGTTCATTACTTTTAGCTAAATTTAGGAGACCACCTTGAATGTTACAGTGACCAATGCAAAGGTTATGAAATTTGTCAGCTGAGTTGTGAATATTTGTCATTTCACAAAACGTGTTAGTCGTTGTGTCTGATTAAACTAAAATCAGGTGAAAATTATCCGCCTGTAAATATTTTCAATAGAAAAGTTTTAAACTTGAAATCAAAATAAATATTCAGGTGGAAATGTCATGTCGATTTCAATGGTGAGCATAGTACTTGATGTGCTTTGCTAGTTTAAAGATACCATCGCTGTTTAGATGCACATTGTCTTCCCCAAATCTACTAAAACAAGATGATTTCCTAAATCCAGATCTATCACTAAACAAAAATCGATTCATCTCTGTGGGTATAAAGCTAACAAACGAGTATTTGGAAGGAATCTTAGATAAAAAGATATTGATGTCATTTATCACTTTATTTCTAGCAAAACTTTCTCTTGGTAAAATGTTTATGATCTTAATTTTTGCAGCTGGAGCCCACGAGTGAAGTGACTGGATCAGATTATCAATAGAGCGATTGGTGTTATCAAGGGCCTTTGCTTTTCCTGTGAACTCATCTGGTGACAATAATCTATTCCTCATGTGTCGAGGACTCTCTAGGATTAAGTCCACATCATTAGTTCCACACATGAGTACGATGGTCTTCACATTATTTGCATCAATTGACCTCTTTCTTTCATCTGAGTGGAAGCGTTCATTGATACCGTTTGCAATGCCACCAGGATAGTGAAATACATGTGCTTCTTGATGAGCAGAGGATAGTTTTGTAGCATCTAACTTGGAGAACATGCTTGAGCTAACATACACAGCAAGGGATTTGCTTTTGACTGAAGCAGGGGATACGGTGCTCTTATGAGTGATTTTGTTGGGTGATGATTTCCCTTTGATTGAGGGTTCAGTTTCTCCTACAGTAACGAAAGGCTTACTTGAGGTATCGGGTGGAGCAGACAGGGTTGCACTGCCATCAATCTGGCGCAGAGTAATGCTAATTCTCATGTCATCAGTATGGTCCTGAATAAGGCTGTGTTCAAAGCTGTCCTGAGATTTTCTGGTCATAATCATTATGTCGCCATGGGAGAGAGTAAGATTGGCAACGTGGACTTTGCTTTTAGACCTAAAACTGAGGACTCTTGTTGCTCCTAACGATATGGTGGAAATCATGGAGCCTGGTGATATGGACCTCTCATCATCTGAATGGAATGGTATACCTTGCTTGCCATTTTCATACTTAGTGATCATGGCGCTGTTAAATATCAGACTTGGGAACTGTGAGCGTAAACGTTCTATAATAGACTTTAATAAGGGATTGTCATTTAACGGCCTTGTGTTATGGAAGCCTCCATTGTAGGCATATGGGAAATCCCCATAGTATGCTACAGCCCTATTGTTAAACGTTTGTGTGTATTGTGTTTCCATATCCAACTTGAGAGTATCAACAAACCTGAATACACCTCGACTCAAATCATGATATGGATTGATGGACTTATCCACAACGTTAACACTGGTTGAAGATTGTTTGTTAACATCAGAAGAATTCACAAGAGATGGGTTGCTATTAAGTTCAGTCACACTGCTAACTTCACAGTTTTGAGTTTCTGATTCATGTTCAGAGATAAGAACATTGTCCCCGCAAGAGAATGGAACCGCAATTTTGTCATGGCCTGAGCCTTGGGTAAGTTTGGTTAGACGAGCAATTTGTCTCCTCAAATTGTCGTTTTCAAGACTTAGTGATACACAGGTAGAACATTTTGCTTTTGCACTGTTAGGTCTGTCACGAAGGCTGTAATTTCTGATTGGGATACCGGACATAGTTCAAATAAACACAATAATGCAAAGAATTCAGGATAGAGTCTAAAACCGATGCTACTGTTTATAGTTATTTAGTTGTTGATTACAGTACCTTTGCAGCAATTCAGAAGATGGGAATGAGTGGTGTCTGATATTCTTTAGGTGATAGATGGGTGATAGGTGATAGATGGGAGTTAACAGCTCTTAAAAACGATGTCTGATAGTCTTTAGGGTGTCTTTAAATAAACTATCGTGCAACAACCATTTACATCGACATACAACCTGTAATGGTTGCTACATTTGATTGAGGTGTTAATTCCCACTAGGGGTCCTCAAATTATTTGTTGTATAGTAGTGTTGGCTCTGCACAAGCAGAGCCAGTGGTTTACTTAATACAACATCAAACGACAATTGATATGTGAAGTTTGTTGCTATGATGTTTGAATAGTGAGGTATCCTTCTTAAAAAAAGTAATTTTGATGATCATTTTTATCGTAACCTGGTTCCCATTATACAATTTTCTTTCATTTCAGGTCTAATTAGTTAGTGAACAATTGCTGAAGCCTGTAACCGGAGATTTGTGCGTTAAACATATTACATCAGACTACACAGACTTTTATGAGCAAACTGAGAATCGCCAGGACACAGAAGCAAAGGGCCCCTTCTATTCGGTTTTTGGCAAAAAGCTTGAGTGTTGATTGTTGAACATTGGCCTCTAGATAAACTATGAACTTTTTGAAACACAGGGCGTTTGTTATTTTTCTGATGTGAGTTGGCAACATATGATCAATCGTTGGTCTGTTTTATAGTTACTTTAATGTGTACATTTTCAATTCTGTTAAGTCTTTTAAGTATAAGGTTGCTTTCTTTTGTTTTACCTTCATGTCATCTTTCGACTTCTCGCAGCTGCAGTCTTCCTATTTGCCCTCATCCTTCGCTCTCCTGGCCCTTTTCTATAGAGTTCATCTCTTTACCCGACTTGTCACTGACTTCCTATTTTCTATTTAAAGCTCTCACACGTACGGCCTCTATGTGTGCAATATATCTCTTTATCCAACTTCTCATCGTCTTCCTACTCTCTCTCTATCCCTCTCCCTCTATATCCCTCTCTCTCTCTCTCTCTCTCAGGTCCTCAGTCCTCCTTCTCCTCTTCAGTCCTCCTACTCCTCATCCTCTTCAGTCCTCCTACTTCTCCTCAGTCCTCGTATGTACAATAACTTCTCAGTCCTCCTCATCAGTCCTCTTGCTCATCCTCCTACTCAGTTCTCCTCCTGAGTCCTCCTATAATGTACGATTCCTTCTCTGTCCTTCTCCTCCTCTTCAGTCCTCATACTCCTCCTCCTCAGTCCTCGTATGTATGATACCTTCTCAGTCCTCCTTATCCTCCTTTTCCTCCTCCTCAATCCTCCTCCTCCCCAGTCTTTCTCAGTCCTCCTTCTTATCTTCATCCCCCTACTCTTCCTCCTCCCCAGTTCTCCTCCTCTTTCTCTTCCTCCTCCTCAGTCCTCCCCCTCCTCCCCAGTCGTCCTCCTCTTTCTCAGTCCTCGTATGTACGATACCTTCTCAGACCTTTTCCTTGTCCTCCTCATCAGTCCTCCTCCTCCTCCTCCTGCTCAGTTTTCCTCGTCCTCCGTGTCTTTCTCCTCGTCCTCCTCTTTTTCAGTCCCTCTCAGTCGAGTCCTCCTCAGTCCTCCT